CTTTATGCCAAGTTGCAAAATTATTATGGGATTTCCCGACGCGAATTTATTTGTGTGAAAATAGCTTGCGCGATATAACAACATATATTTTGTAGAAAAGATTAAAATTTAATTAAAATTAAAATAGTCACCAGTGTAATTTAAATTTAAACAAGAATGTGAGAGTGTTATTTTTAGAATGAATTTATTACAGAAATTAGGAAAGAGTACAATTGTGGATTTCATGGAGGAAAATGGAAAATCAAGAGAAATGTACAAGTTTCTTTAAAACATTGTTATTAATTTTCTACACAGATCCACATCTTCAAACACAATCATCTCAATTTGTTTGCACTCTCATTACATTCCCACACGATACATAATTTTACTTCGTACACATATATACGTATTCTTTCATGTCATGGCATTCTTTAAAAATGCACTATTTGGAAAATATGTCATGCATTAGGCTTCTATTATGATGGATGCGTAGTCACGCAAGTAACTTTTCAAATTATTGCTATAAAAGAGAAATGTACATATATTTACAAATTGTTTAGTATATCAAATTATTTATAAGAATTAATATTAACTGCAAGTATACATAAATCTATGAAAAATAAAAATATATTAAATCAATATATATATTATTATTTACTTACATGTTATTTAAGATATATATCAAAGACCTTTGATGCTCACTTTAGTGCATATATCTATATATTTTAATGTAATTGACATATATAATAATTAATTAAATAAATAAATAATTTAAAAATAATCTGAATATGGATTATAATACAATAATGTACTAAAATAAATAGATATGCGAGAAGAAATGGCTATATTTACCTTTTCGTGTAATACACTGACAATGTTAATCCCCACAAATTAGTCGCATATAGCATCTGGCGATAAATTAGCCTCTCAATCATTAGACAACACGATCCATGAAACCACATTACAGTAAATATAGTTATGCAACCTGCAAATTCCGCTGCATGCGTGGCGGAATGCGTATGACCACGCATCCAAAATAATCACAATCTCTCGCAAAATTATCTCGATATCATCTGCAATCTACGAAAATTGCGCGCCCGTAAAACTTATAATAAATTCTCCCATTCGCGCTATTGTCATTAAAATACTACGTGTTTTCCGTTTCGTCGAGAATGCCTTTTTTTTTGCCTTAAGTTCAATTTTAGACGATCAATAATTCGAATATACGTGTATCAAATATATATAACGTAAAATTTGTATACATTTTTAATATCTCTTGTATGTCTCTTTTTTTTTTTAATATATATTCTTTTTTATAATAACTCTCTTTTTTTTTGCAAATTATAGATCGTCTGAAATCAGTTTTATTTATATATTTTTCTCACTATAACATCTTTTTGCCGACACTGGTTGTTCGCAGCAGTCGCTTTTACGGCGGGAATGTGTCTCGTAAACATCGATTTACAACGTTGCACATTACGTTATATTAGAGGGGCACTAGCCGCCTTTATACGTAGCCTAACAGATACGTGATATACGAGTAGATCGAACCTGCGAACGATTTCGTAGCGATTTCATATCCCGATGATCGTAAAAACATGGGGAAGAAATAAAAAATTATAAATTAGTTTAAAATCACTGAAATTGATTTTTCACACAACATTATTTGTTAGTAAAGATAATATAATGCAACAAATATTATAAGATGAATAAATATAATATTATAAATAAAGAATATAAGTAAATATTGTACATATAAATAAATATTATAAATATAAAATAATTTAAATATTGTTTAAATGAAAATCTTATACATTTATAATTGAAATAAAATTTCTCGGAATCGCTCATTTTTACAGTCGCAATTTATAATCGCGTGAAAAAAAAATGTGTCCACGATATATATCGTCCGATCGTTCGATCTTGCTTACGTTAGTGATTGTTCTGCACTCTGAAGTATACATAACTATATATATGTGTACCGTTTTCTTTGATCTGTCAACCGACGCTTGAAAAAAAGCTAATAAGGAAATGAAAAGAAGCAAAAAATATTGAAAAACAAGTCATCCGTTTGTCATGACGCAATCGCCACAATTCACTCGTGACTATTGATTTTTTTAATATGGAAAAAATTCTGGAAACCTAAAAATTTTTCTCTTATTCTAGGGAGAGATTTTATTATGAAGAATATCGCGAAAAATGTACAATGATATTTTTCTCATTCTCATAAATTATTTAATTTATTATCAATATTGCCAAATGCTTTTTTTCATGTTTACTGAAAATTAGAGATATATTGCGTAATGCTCCGAAATAAGTTTCTGAAATATATTTTCTGTGAAAAATAAAAATTTTAATCAATTAAAAGCCTCTTCATAAGTAAATTGATTCGAATGTATAATTTTGACGAAACTTTGTTATTTCCTATAAAATTTACATTTTGAAGACAAGACTGTAATTGGATGACGTATCTATGAAAATAACGCATAATTCTTTCGTCTTTTTGTTTTTCCAAAAATCAAAACTAGATATCGAAATACAACACTATATTCATTTAAAAATAAACAATATACAATAAATTATATAATTATTATACATAACAATCATTGTCGAACAACGTAACAGCAACATTCTTACGTTCTATTACTGTACATATACATAGATTTATACTGTGTATATATATATATATATATACATATATATATATATATATATACATATATATTTATATTTATATATAATATATTCTCTGTTTCATTTTTTTGGCATTTCAGTGAGTCTCTTTAACGAAGTGCCTTCGTAAATCTAGCTATTTCAGTAAAACGATTTGTTTTGCGAGAGGGATGATACGGATTCAACATTTATACACAAAGTTACTCGAACCTAAAGATACGCAGATTCGTATTTACAATGATACCTCATTTAAGGTCTCGTTATTATAAATCCCTTTGATTAGAACGAAACGCGCTGCCGCAGCGCAATTATATACAAAGTGATCCCCTAAACGAATAATACGGCATTATCTCCCGCCTTTCAACCCTTCTTCTTGGTCTTTCGCTCTCGTCTCTTCGTTTCTCCCTTCGCTTCTCCTCCAATTACGGGACAGCGTCTATATATAAGACGTCTCAGAATCCCTCGAATTAATTCTTTAATACGCTTGAAAATTCCTCTATCGATCTCTCGAAGAAGTTTCTTTTTTCAAGAAAAATCTTCGCTTCTCACAGTTTATTGCCAATTTCAATCCTTGAAGTTTAATCTTGAAGATCAATCTTTCTGATAATTTATAAAAACATAAATAAGAGCAAAAATAATGATTTAAATCAAATATAAAAGATATAATTCTTTAATACGCTTGAAAATTCCTCTATCGATCTCTCGAAGAAGTTTCTTTTTTCAAGAAAAATCTTCGCTTCTCACAGTTTATTGCCAATTTCAATCCTTGAAGTTTAATCTTGAAGATCAATCTTTCTGATAATTTATAAAAACATAAATAAGAGCAAAAATAATGATTTAAATCAAATATAAAAGATATAATTCTTTAATACGCTTGAAAATTCCTCTATCGATCTCTCGAAGAAGTTTCTTTTTTCAAGAAAAATCTTCGCTTCTCACAGTTTATTGCCAATTTTAATCCTTGAAGTTTAATCTTGAAGATCAATCTTTCTGATAATTTATAAAAACATAAATAAGAGCAAAAATAATGATTTAAATCAAATATAAAAGATATAATTCTTTAATACGCTTGAAAATTCCTCTATCGATCTCTCGAAGAAGTTTCTTTTTTCAAGAAAAATCTTCGCTTCTCACAGTTTATTGCCAATTTCAATCCTTGAAGTTTAATCTTGAAGATCAATCTTTCTGATAATTTATAAAAACATAAATAAGAGCGAAAATAATGATTTAAATCAAATATAAAAGAAATGGAAAAATAATAATCTCGCAAATGATTTTCCAATTCAAATTACTAACGTATGTTTCTATTCATTTGATTTGTTGTACAATACCTATTACGTGTCAATAATTATCGTATTACTTTCGATGAATTTCACGTGGGGGATAGAAGAGAGTTGAAATTGGTATATCACATTACAAAAGCGTACAGGACCAAATCACGAAGTGAAGTAAAGTATGCGCGCAAATCGAATGTTGGCTCGAAGGTTCATTCCGACGTTATCGAAGCAGAGCTAAAATATTACTGTCGAATCGGAACATCAATCTGCCGACGGACAGGAGTCTTATTTACGGACCTGATAGAACGCCTGCCTGGACAGAAATAGACCCTCGGGGACTAGGCGGCAAATGTGTCCCTTAAAATAGGTCGGCCGCAGAACGAAACAGGCACGAGAGCACATAGTACATATAGTACATACTCGCGTTCTCCTTGGAACTATGAACTTCTCTCTTGCAAATTGCTCACGCTGAGAATACTCGAATGTATATACTTGATGCGCGAGCATCGCACATTCTTCCGATCTTAATTTTAACGACGAGAAAATTGAGAGAAAGAGAGAGAGAGAGAGAGAGAGAGAGAGAGAAGAGAGAGAGAGAGAGAGTAATCTTAATTTTAATATTATAAATTTCTTCGCGAATTTTCGAACAGTCTTAGTTTTTCATGATAAATTTTCCGATGATCTTTGAGCAATCTTAATCTTTTCGTATGACAGGTTCTTTAAATACGTAGATGTAAACGCATACCAAGTCTTAAAAATAATATATAATTGTATATTCAATACCTTGTTTTCTTAAAAATGTTCTCTCAAAAATGTTATGAATTTTACGAAGACTTTCTTTTAACACACAATTTTAATTTTGATAATGAGAGGTTTAATCTTCAACTAAATTTTAAAAATTAAATAAATTGAACAACAACAATTAATAATTAATTATTATAGGAATAAATAAATAATAATATTATATTTATAATAATTGTCAAACTACAAACACAATGCATTCTATCTATATATGTATACATCAAAATTCCTTCAAATTTATTTTTCACGAATATTTATTTTTTATTAATTTATTGATTTTCTTTTTCTTTTCCTTTCCCTGAAGTTTTTAAATTTTATCTGAAGAGATAGTCAGAGGAGGATCGTAAGGAAAACGAAGACGCGGTAATAATAATGAATACAGCCTTAATTCCCTCTAATATTAGGTTGCTAAAAAAGTTTGTTGCTTTGTAATCAATATAAGAAAGGTACCTATTATATATTGAATTGAATCTGTTTCACATTAAATTTTCTCTTCGAGAGAATTTTAAATCTTCTCTTTCATATACATTAATTTTTTCTCAAATATAAGAAAGGTACCTATTTTATATTGAAATGAATTGTGGGGAAAAAATTCCATCTCTTTCACATATTAAATTTTCTCTTCAAGAGAATTTTAAAAATCTTCTCTCTTATACATTAATTTTTTCTCACATTTTTTTATACGAAAAAAAGATAAAATTATTGCTAAATTAATGTGAAACGCTCTCGGCTTCGATACACTTCGCGAATTCGTCCGTTCTATCTACGTTTTTTTTTCTCGTGCTCGCGAGGGGTCGGCCGTTTATTTTTGCGCAGCCGGATCCGCGAGATCCGCTCATATGCACGCCTCGATGTGGACATTGGTCATCTCGCTGTTGCGCAGCTGATTGTTGACGTGCAGCTCGGACGAGGCGTTGCTGTGCACGAGATCCTGTTTGCGATGCACCTGGCGCAGATCATGCACCGGGCCGAATGCGCGGCAGCAGCTCTCGAGGGTTTTGCGAAAGGCGGCGCGAAACTCACGGTTGAAGTATGCGTAGATGAGTGGATTAAGGGCGCTGTTGAAGTAGCCTACCCAGAACACGATCGCCACCACCATATCGCCGCTTTTGCACGAGGCGCATAACGCCGTAATGATGTACCTGCATCAATCCAAGAGATATTCTGACTAAGCCGAGTTGTACGATTATTATTAATTGAATGCGATACGGATTATTCATATATTTATATATAATATATGTGTAATCTATTAAAATATTAATAGATATATTATAGATAATTAATTATATATAATAATTCTATTAATTAGCAATTATAATTGTCAAATTTTATGTATCGATATAAAAAAGAATTGCGTAAAAATGATTAAATGACAAATTACACGTGAAGAATATAATATATTTAAATCTATAAATATATATATATAATATATCTATAATCTATTGAAATATTAATATATTATAGATATTAATTATATATGTAATAATTCTATTAATTGCCAAACTTTATGTATCGATAAAAAAATTATGTATCGATATAAAAAGGGATTGTATGAAAATGATTAAATGACAAATTATACGTGAAGAATATAATATATATTTAAATCTATAAATATATACAATATATCTATAACCTATTGAAATATTAATATATTATAGATATTAATTATATATGTAATAATTCTATTAATTGCCAAACTTTATGTATCGATATAAAAAGGGATTGTATGAAAATGATTAAATGACAAATTACACATGAAGAATATAATATATATATTTAAATCTATAAATATAATATATAAAATATATCCATAATCTATTAAAATATATTAATATATTATATTAAATATATTAATATATCGATAAAAAAATTATGTATCGATATAAAAAAGGATTGCATAAAATGATTAAATGACAAATTGCACGTGAAGAAAAGAAAGAAAAAATACGCTTAGTTAATTTAAATCGCGATAAATTGCAGTAAATCGGTAAATATATATTACGGTGGGAAAGAAGAAACGAAATGTATCTCTTTTTCTGGTTGACGGTGACCTACATGTACCTGACATCGAAATTGTTTCCATCGACAAGAAAAGAATAGGTTTACAGACTTTTAGGAGAAAGGAATTCTTTCCGTCTCAATTTTTCTGGATTCACGTTATATACGATTTTCCTCCCTGATACCATTATCGAGGCTCGATTCAGAATAGTATAGAAATAACTACGTCGTATGGCTTCATATTAAGAGTCTGGATTCTATAAAGCTAAAGGTAAGTCGTCGGCTTAGAAATTTACTAAATCTACTTAGAATTTTATCATCGAACGAAATTTCCTTTTGTTCGCGTATATGGAAATTGTACATAAATCGATTCTGCAATTCTACAGCAGGCGGAATTTATTCTTCATTTCTTCCTTAATGATATCAAAAAATTTATTTAGAAAGGAAAAATAATAGATCTATATAGATTCTAAATTATAAATTGTAACATTAAAGGAAATTCTAAAAATTTTTTATAACTTTACCACATAACGAATAGAGATTCTCAGTGTGCAATTTATTTTTCATTTTAAACATATAAATGTTAATTAAGACGAATAAAAATTTAAACTTGGAAAAATAATTTTAATGTCCGTATTATAATTTACTTTCGTGCATTATATAGCGTTATTGCGTACAAAAAATTTTATTTGAAAATAAAAAATTATAAATCTCTGTAGATTCTAAATTATAAATTACATTAAAGGAAATTCTAAGAATAACATTAAAGAAAATTCTAAGAATTCTTTATAACTTTATAACATTACGAATAGAGGTTCTTAGTGTGCAATTTATATTTTATCTTAAATATCTAAATGTTAATCAAGACGAATAAAAACTTGAACCGAGAAAAATAATTTTGATATCCGTATCATAATTTATTTTCATGCATTATAGTAGATATTATTGCATATAAAAAATTTTATTTGGAAATTAAAAAATAATAGATCTCTGTAGATTCTAAATTATAAATTACATTAAAGGAAATTCTAAGAATTCTTTATAACTTTATAACATTACGAATAGAGAGTCTCAGTGTGCAATTTATTTTTATTTTAAACACACGAATACTAATTAAAACGAATAAAAATTTGAACTTGAAATAATTTTGATACCCGTAATTGATTTTCGTGCGTTATAGCGTTATTGCATTGTCACACGTTTTTATATCGATTGATACAAATCGAACTATACCTATGTGTTTCGTAATAGTACATTAGCTGCGGAGGCTAAGAATAGAATAACTACCGGTTAAGGTCAAGCTTCTTTCCCATGTGAATGGCTAGAAATTCTTTACACATCGAGACATTCTCTCATTGACCGTCGCAATCGTTCAATTCCTTTAAAACTTTCATCCGCATTTCTTTTTCTCTAACAATGAGCGGCGCAACGTAACTCCTACAGATCGATACTTGATTTCTCTTGCCTACTTTCCATGCAATAGTCTACGTCTTTATTTATTCAAGGCAATTTTTCATGCAACGGACTCTCTCTCTCTCTCTGCATTAGATCGATAAAATATAATCGATGACAATGTAGCGCGAAACATTGCGGCATATATAGATAACGATTGTGAATAATTTTTTGCTCCGAATGCGTTCACGTTTGTTTAAGACGCGAATGGAAAATTCTAAGGGACGCGTATAAAATTGTAAATGAAATTTCCGCACGTGTCTTGGATTATCTAAACATCGTCTAAAGTGACATAACGAAATTAATCCTTACGCTCTTTTTGCTGCATCGGCAAATTCAGTTTGTTTCGAGAAAATGTACGTTTGTTTAAGACGCGAATGGAAAATTCTAAGGGACGCGTATAAAATTGTAAATGGAATTTTCGCACGTGTCTTGGATTATCTAAACATCGTCTAAAGTGACATTAACGAAATTAATCCTTACGCTCTCTTTGCTGCATCGGCAAATTCAGTTTGTTTCGAGAAAATGTACGAGTAGTGACACCTCGAGACGTGTCAGGCAGGGATAAGTAGAGTCGAAAAAGGCTGCCACAGCAGAGGCAGAGGGACAAAGTGGGTCAAGGGTCTGTCTCTTAATGAGGCCGGGCAGAGCGAAGGAGAAAGAGAAATAAAATATTGGTTTGTATTATTTGGCGGAGTAATAGGAACACGGAGATTTGATTCGAAAATAGGAAAATTGATAGCCGCGTGATGGATATATAGCAGGATAAATACGTATATAGTAGTTCGCCAGATCGACGAGAAATCAATTTCATTGTTTTTCTGATGGAGAAAAAATAGAATTCACGGAACTATCGTACACACTCGGTGTAATAATAATTGGAAACGAGGCAATGGAAAGCTACAAATTATAGCCTTGTTTCTTCGCAGCGTTTATCATTTTATGCGTTCGTCGAATGGAAAATATTAAAAGGTTATGAGATAAACATTTATAATGGAAAAAGATAATGTCATATAAATAGTATGGAAATATTGCGGAACATAGGGAAGCATTTTTCGATATATAGATATTCGGAGAAAGGAAAATATTATTTTTTACGACTCTTGAATATCTATATCATAAATTTCGTTGAAATGGATCATATAAAAAATTAATTAATTTTGGAGTTTCACAAAGAGAGTTGTATTTTATTCCCTAATTGCAAATTAATTATTAGCCCGAAATACCCGGGGATTAATAAATTTCCGTAAATGTTTAACGGGAAACAGTGTTGTTAAATACCGTTGATGAATTCTCTCAAATGAAACATCGGTTTAGCAGATTGTCGCGATTTACTTTGACATGCATCACTGACGGGAGATCAAAGAGATTGCGTGAAAGAGAGAAAGAGAGAGTTCATCGAGATTCGAAATATGTGTATAGGATATATATATATATATAAAATTGGATAGAAATCCAACTAAAATACCGCGAATACACTCCTGGAAGGATTCATCTCTTTATCTCCTTGTCTCTAATCTTGATGACTTCCGAAATCGATTTCAAGTTATCTCAAAACATTTTTCTGCACTTTTCTTTTTCTAGTTCTCTATCGAATTATTAAACTTCTTCTTGATGTCCGCGGGGAATTTCTCACCGACTATTGTGAGAAGCGATTGAGTGTATTTCTGCGATTACACGGAAAAATACTTTGGCAAGAAGTGTCCATATTTCGGGATTATTGTTAATATTTTATCGACCCATTTTTCCAACAGGAATCTTACATTATTATTTTACAATTAATCCTTATTATTTATTTTCATTTAATCCTTCCTGTTTCTTTCCTTTATAAATCTTAAAAATGGGATACGCTTTTTGAAATATCAAATTGATGTGAAATTATTTATTTAATCTTTCATATTAATTTTACCTAATTTATTTTGGTGTATTTTTATTTGATGTATTATTTATATACCTTATTTTTGATATGTTTTATAATTATTACTACTTTATTTATATATGTTTGATATTGAAAAAAGCGTTGTTTATATGTTCTATTTTTTTACTCGAGATTTTAATATTTAATATGTTTATAACATATCTGCAATGGAGTGAATTATATTTGCATATTTTTTCGAAATCTTTCGTGGTATGTATTTGATAAAACAGCAACGTAACCATTCGTATCCATTAATTACAAACGGTGAATGTTTATCGCGCGTTAAAAGCTCACAATAAAAGCATTGAAAATTGAAAATCAATCAGATAGCCAATGAGAAGAAGTGTAAATTTAGTTTTAGCTTTAAATACACATGCAAGCTTCTCGCTTGGAATAAATAAAAACATTCAATTAAGGATTAAAAATATACAGAGAGAAAATACAAATAAATATTCCGATAATTTTGTTTGACAATTTTTCGACACGCGCGCGTTACGAAATCTCCTTCGATCCCTATTAAAGCCTCATCACGCACGTACGTGCTAAAGAGTAAAATTTAAAAATGGCCGACTTCTGGTCTATTGTGACACGTCGTCGTGTTACACGTACATCTGGAGAGAAGGCACTTGACACACACCCGGGAACCAACCACCCTTCTTCCGCTTCGAGGTGGTTGCACACAACCCTCGAAGCTTCTCTCCCGCTGCAAATCTCCGGAGATCGGCGCCGGCACACGCTACTTTTCCCTATCGATCGCGACTTTCTCTATGTATATAACCGACCGAGTCTCTCGCCTCCTTCCCTAGTTACTGCACCCTCAGGAATTTCGGCGTGACATGGCGCAATATCCCACCCGTTTTCATTTGGATATCGTTCGATAATAATGGACAACATTCGCAAAAGCAACTTTTATTTTACTCTAGCAGAATTTACGAACAATTATTTAGACACAGAGTTGAACAATTTATGTTAAAAACAGATCCCAGAAGAAAATACGGTCCACAGAAATTTTTGTGTTAATTTAATATAATATGTAATATGTTAAATGGAGACACGAGTACTGTGTTAATATTTTAACGCAAAATAAATGCAAAACTTCAAGTAATTTTATATAATTTTTGGGGAAAATTAATATACATCGTTTTAATGTAAAAATTAACTAAAAATATGTTAATTTTAGATTTTATCATCCTCACTTGTATTATAAAATCAACACTTTCTGTAAATTTTAACAGATCTTGTCATTAATAAAACAGAACATGTTTAACATTTAACTTAAATCAACACAAAAGTAATATATAAAATTAATATAAATATTGTGTTAAATATTTAACATAAATTTTAACAAGAAAACACGGTCTTCTATTGCGCAATGACATAATTGTCCATTTTTTATTAGAATTTTCATAATATGAACGTCTCTTATTAAGCATATTTTTTTAACTTCTTTCATCACTTTTCAGTTGATTTTTTCTTTGTAAAAATATCAAATACCCATAATTTTTTAAATAAATCATTAGAAGAAATGTTTAAAATTACACAATTTAAAGGAGTGACTAGATAATAAAGTTATATTCTTTAGTTAATTTTAAATAAATTTTACTTGAATAAAAAATTTAATTTGGATTATAATGTTAAAAAACTTGAGAGCTTTGCTTTAACCTTTAATCCTTCTATCAGTGAACAGATGCGGGTATCCAAAGCAATTTTAAATGTTAAAAATGTGTCGGAACTTTTCTCCACCCGAAACAAAATACAAAGGGCCTTTGTATTCGGAAACATTCTAAAATATAATAGGGAAAGAATGTTCGATACCCAGTATAGCTGCTATAAAGAAATTGTTGCAGTGCAATGTGTTGAAAACACGCAGTTAATATCGGAGCACTTTTACATGAAAAGGTGAAAAATTATGCATTGACAGATTCAACGATTGATCTCTTGCGAAGAGAAAATCGACTTGAGAAATTATTAATTTAAAAAAGTGCTATTAATAAGAAGCAACATTTATGTCATAATTCGAATAAAATCAGCATGTGGTCGATTTTGATTGCCAATTGTTGTAATAATATACATATTATAGAGATTTCTCATAATAGTCGAAATGGTATGTAATATTACAAAAGATTACGAATGATTGCTTATATTGTATATATATAATTATCTATATTTATTACAATTATCATGGTATACTGTATTAAATCTTACAATGAAAGAATACTCTTAATTTGATGATTATATAAATGCATTTTATGATTTCTTAGAATTGCAGACTATCTTAATAAATATAAAGAATCTTTTTTTATACAATCAATGCAATTGAAAAAAATCATCTGTAATTTTACAAAATCGTCAGTAATTTCGTCAAATCGAATAATTGCACATATAGAATTATAAAAATTTACTTTTTTATAAATTTTTAAAATTTTTCTTTTTATTATTCTATACTATTTTTTCTTATTTAATTTTAATTTTTATATGTATTTTATTGTTTATTTTATTTTAATTATTTATTTATATTCCTATCCAGCATCGCTCTACTTTTATTCATTAATTTATATCTTTCTGCAATTTGTATCTGATTCAATTTGTGTCACGATATGTCTCGTTTGAAAAAGTCACATGGATCGATGAAATTGTACCTACGGTGGCAATTAGCAAAGGTTGTAGTTAATGTCCACAATATCAATTTTGTTCATTTACGCCTCGTGCTGTTTGCATAAAAAAGGTGAGAATAAAGATACGTCCTACACACGTACTAAATATTTGAAATCGTAATTTTATGTATGTACACTTTGTAAAATTGATTATCGAATTTTCTATTCTCATCAAGAATATTTTGTTTCTCTAAAATGCTTTATCAAACGAAATTTTTATTAACTTTAAAGTAGAATTAGATACATAAATTTTTTCGTTCCTCTTTTTTAACTATTATTATTAATAATGTTGTAAAGCACAGCGTAAAAAAATAATATGATATTGAGAATAAAATGATATCTGTAGTATTCTTTTTTTAATTACAGCACAATAGCTATTTTAATGCGGTAATAATACGATTAATAGTATAAAAATAACATTAAAAATAAGAGATAAATGCATACTCAAATCCCAATGGACGTGTGTGTCTCTTTAAAGCACGTTTAAAACTGCTCTCAATGAGATAACACGTCACGCCAACGCTTTACCCCACGTAAGTTCTACCTACGTAATTAAGCAAAGCAGAACACGAAGCGAATATGATATATTGTACATTATTTCGCGCTAGAAAATAATGTTAATTACTATGACAGATTGCGCGCGAGTGTGTCTGACATAACGTTGATAAGAAAAACAGAGCGCATGTTTTCGTCACATGTATACATTTTTTTAAACTGCGTAAAGTTACAGTTTAATAAATAAAATATTTCATCAAATCAAATATATTATTAAATAATAGAATAAATATATCTCTTTCCAAATTTCTTTCTTTATCAATTCATATTTCTTCATTAATTCTTTCTTAATTAATTAATTAAATAATTAAACAATTAATTAAATAATTAATTTTATTAAACAAATAAAAGTATTTTCAATATAATATTGTGATTGATTTTTTGAAACTCTCTCTTTGATTCCTAATAATTTTAGCCCTAATAATAAATAAAAAGTATGAACATATGTGTGTGGACGAAAGATAGATGTGAGAAAAGAATATATACACGTAATATGAGAGTGTGAAATTGCTATTGAACTCGTAGCAGTATTAAGGGTAGAACGATAAATATTTTGCGATAAGATGGAGAAAGTAATATTGAATGTGCATTACCACAGGAAGAAGGGAAGCCAACAGGCCAGAAACGCCGACATAATGATGCCGAGTGTTCTGGCTGCCTTCCGTTCTCTTTTCATCTTGCTGCTACTAGTTATCGGCGGCTCTTCCGGTTGTGGCTCGGGTGACGATTGGTCCACGGTCGGCAGAGAAGTCAGACCTGCCGAATCCCGTTGATCTGTAAATGTTTGTTTAACAGAGCGGCCGCGACTTTGCTCCTGTAACATAAAAAGCAGAATAAAATTTAATTTTATATATTTAATAAAATTGTAATAATAATGAATTTTAATAATGAATATTTTTAGTACACAATACAATTGTACGAGATAAATTATTATAGTAACTCTTATCAAATAAAATATGTGAAGAGTATGTAATATTGTAAAAAGTATAACATTTATCATGTTTTATAGTGATATATTTTATTTTATTTTCATTATACTTTACTCCCTTGATATCTTTTTGAGGAAAACAATTCAGAGCCATATATGTTTCGTTATTTATATTTTTTAATAGAAAAGTTTGCAAGAAGAGAAATATCACAATTATATCATGAATTATTATTTTTTTATACTAAATTATGTGTGTTAATTTATATATTTTGATTATTATTTGATATATGTATAATTGTATATAAAACAGTCATTGATATTATTGATATTATATTTCATATATATTTTATATAACGATATATAAAATAAAATTTGATAGAAATATAGTCTAGTACGATTAATGTATGTAGAAATCTGAAAAGCGTAATATAATTTTCCTCGTCTTTCTCGAGAATTAGTGTAATTTCTGCATTAAACCTGAAGCAACGTATATGATATGCTTCCGTTTCTACGTATTGCGATAAAATAAAATCTAACTAGAAAATTGCGCGCGTCATACACGTTTGCTGTCGAGTGACAAATATTACATTTGTTATTGGATTAGAGAGAAAAAGAGAGAGAGCGAGAGAGAGAGAGAGAGAGAGAGAGACAGAGAAGGGTTGATTCGCGCACACGCGATTTACCAACCCTGTCGCTTTGCCGCTCTTGTATTTAATTCGCCGACAAACGCAGCGTTCAGTTAAACCTGCATTCGTGAAAATTGAAATCGCAAAACAAACTCAAGCTTGGATTATATTTATAAATCAATAAAAATCCTTGTTATTGATTATGTATTTGTTTGTATTTAAAAAAATATTCTGACAAAATTTTTTAAGAAGATTTGTTTTTTATTATATTGGGTTTTTATTCTTTATCTATGATCATATCTATCTGATTGTATAAATTTATATATAATTTTTAAAAATATTTTATCGATATTTAATTTATATACATTTTAAATATACTTTTTTATTTATTTATATTTTAAAAATACACTTATTTTATTTTTATTTTTTCATGGTCGATAAAATTAAAGAGATACCCATTAGTATCGTTTATAAATAAAACTTTTAAAATATCTTGTAGAGAGACAGAGAGGTGATTGCATTTGTAACAAAAATTTGCAGCTGTAATAAAGCTCTCGAGGATGTCAGTAATCTAATTACAAATAAAACACGGAAATATTAGAGTTCTTGAACTTTAAATTACTAATTAGCATATTTTAAATAAGTAGTTTATAAATAAGTAGTTTCCCTCATTACACTGAAGCAGTGCAAACGCAATTAAACTTCAGCAGTTCGCCTCGGCGCATCTCGTTATCCATCAGTTCAGAAATCCGGGTAAACCGTGTGTAGATACTAATATTCTGAACAAAATATCTTCAGCATTCAGTAAATAATATATTGCATAATAAATATGGGTACTTGCGTCACGTTATACATACATATATATATATATATATATATACAAGTTCTAAAATTCACTCTCACGTAATTAAAAGGAAATCACCAAACGAGCGAACGTCTCTCTTCTGTCATGATCGTGATAACGTAATAACGTAAAAACTAAATTGAAATGTTCATATTTCTTCGTCTATTGAAAAAAAAAAGAAACCAAATCCACGAGGTTTGATCTCGTAATTCGATAAACTGCTCGAACAAGCTAGTTCAATTAAAAAGTTCGAGACATTCGATTAACACCGGGAGCTTCTATATTACTCCGGACTTGAACGGCAACCACAGCTTTGAACAAAAAACAATATATAGCCCTTGTTTCAGCTTTGAACTCGCGTTTCCAAGTTAACTCGTTCTCGTTACCAGGCGTAAACTTGGAAGACGCTTGTCGGACTAAGCTTTTTTTTATGAACGCTCGCACATAGGGCATGGAACGTGGGAGGGTTTGACTGAAACTCTAAATTCGATATTACACGAGTACCGAGAGCGAGATTGGAAACTTTTCAGGGCTCGTGCAAATAAACGATCGCGGTGCACTTTTGCCGATAAGAATGTTTCATCTCTTCGCCGCGTTATCGATTTATCGTATCTAGAACTGACCAACCACGGAATATTAATTTTACAACATATCGCAATTGCAGTCCCATAGGAAAATGCTGAAACTAATCAACTGTCATTTTGTTTATATTTTAAAAAAATATTCTGACAACATTTTTGAAGAAGATTATATTGGGTTTTTTATCCTCTATCTATGATTATATCTATATATCTGATTGTATAAATTGATATATTGATAATTTTTAAAAATATTTTATCGATATTTGGTTTATATATACATTTCAATTATACTTTTTTATTTATTTATATTTTAAAAATACACTTGATTGGCGTGATCTTCATTCTTCTTCTTTGTTGCCGAACACGGAAAAAAATATTTGTCAGCAATGTCGAATAATAGGAAAAAGCATTCAGTTATTCATGAAGACAAGGAGATTGAATTAAGAAAAGTTATTTCGACCCGAATTCTAATTTTATTTCAATTTTATATACTTTTATTATTATTATTATTTTGTTCACCTTTGTCAAATTAAATGTTCCAAGTATCGTTAAATGCAAATGCTGGAAATCTCGCCGGACTGCGATCAGTGAGCAAATTAGCGATTTCGCTGAACAATGCGCAACATATTCATCTTCCTTGCCGCAGAACTTGCATCCGCATTATGGTTTGATCTAGAATATGCATTTAGTCGCTGCATAATTATGAATCTTCCAGCACAAAGTTATGAATCTTCGGTTATGCGATGCAACTGGTCCCGCAATCGTAATTTGTGCGAAATAAGGTCGCGACGCCACGACGGTGAAATATCCTTCGAAAGATTACGGCGACTGGGTCATTTATCGCCCGTCCGTTTTAATGTAGCTACGTTAAGTAAATGTTCAAGAAACAGCCTGTAAATGTGCGCTTTAATATCACATTGTAAAACAGATACAACGCTTTCGTAAAAGGATAATCGCACAAATGTTTGATACTTGCGTCGATTTTTCCTTCGTATCGTTTATTATACTATTATAGTCTTTTCTCTTTTCTACTTATAAAATATTATATATATTATAGATATATAGAGAAATAAATCAAGAGGTTTCATTAATATAAAATCGAATTTTTCTTTTTAAAAACGAAATTCCTTCTTGAAACTTCACATTTTTGTTCGTATTTTATAACGATCTGAGAGCGTCGTATAATTTTGAAATCTTTAAAAAAGGAAGAAATTCTTTAAAAAGGAGAAAATATTCTCCCTTAAAAAAAATTACATCACATTTTCCGTTGCAAATTTTCCTTTACACTAAAAGCCCGTGTAAAACTTTCAGACGATGTTAAGCGATGGCGGAATTTGCATACGCATATTTGCAAATAATATAGATGCTAGATCTTGGAGAGACATCCTTTTTCTCGATATAAATGCAACAGATATATGTATGCTATTTGTATACAGAGGCGATGAGATGGAAAATCGGTCGGTCGGTCGTGAAAGCGGAATAGACTGAGAATGAGGCACATGACTACGAAGCAAAGATATAAAGCGAAGGATACGGCCGCGAAAAATAGCGAAAATCGCTCGTGAAAGACGTTAATAGCGTAATCTGAAAATATAAAGAGTACCCGATAAATGATGGTATAACCGCAATAACAAATTAATTCCCTGTGAAAGCAGGCAAAAAATTAAAATTGAAAAAAATATGAGATATAAAATGTAATATGTAATAAAATATTATATAATATATATGTATAACAATAAACGTTTAATTTATATGTGAGAAAATATGCATAGACAAATAACTGATGACAACTGATAGAATATAAAAATATAATAAACTTGGCAAAATTGATTTCGACGTAACTAGCAATTTTATTAATAATAAGTATTGAATAAAATTGCTAGTTACGTCGAAATCAATTTTATAAGTATTGAATAGAATTGCTAGTTACGTCGAAATCAATTTTGCCAAGTTTATTTTCACCACTAGCGTCCAATATTAATTTTGATTGATAAAAATATAATGTTATCTATATTGATTTATTTTGAAATAGAAGGAGACAATCGAGGATTTTGAGTAAGTTTGATTCGATTTAGCAAATAACGCATGACGAATCCATCTCCACCGAGAAAGCTTACATTCGAAACGATTTGGAAAGCTCAGTGAAGAAGTTACGAGTGGAAAGCTTCCTTTAACCTTTGCTCAGACTCGACTTCACTTGCGAAACTTTTTGTAGATTAGATTATGAGTTCTCTTTGATGTAAGTATTTTCGTCTTTTTCGCGAAAACAAGTCGCTGATTGAACCGAGACGCTTTTCAGCATCAGCAAAGAAACCAATAAAATTTGACTTATTCTTTAGAAAAGTTTTAAAGCCGGGGTAATGTCATGCTTGATACAGCAACATTAGCTGGATTTTATCATCAAGGTGACAATAAAGGAGCTACATATCTTTTGTTAGACTTTAATCTAATGGATTACTTTAGTAAATTTAGAAAGAAAGAATCTTAAAGAAATGTTACAATTTTTTAAAATATATATAGAAATTGATTTTTTTGCTTGTAGTTTTATCATATAATGTACAGAATATAAAAAGAAAGATATTAATTTATTAATTTTTATTATTATCATTAAAAATGTTTTATTTTGTTATTTTGCTTTATTATTATTTATCATAATATTATTTTATTAAGTCTATGCGATATAATTATTACAAAAAAATATTGTATTGATATTTTCATTAAGAAAGATACTAATTTATTAATCTTATGATCATTAAAAATGCTTTATTTTGTCATTTCACTCTATCATAATGTACAGAATAGAAAAAGAAAGATATTAATTTATTAATTTTTATT